ATTTGATTGATCACTACTAAAAAATATGTTTTTTCCGACGACAAAATCCGTCGGAAATCCGTAGGAAAAACAACTATCCGCCGGATATTGTCGTCGAAAAACCCCCACCGCTAAATGCAAATTCCGTTTGAAATCTATCGGTAATGTTCAAAGCAGTTTTTTTTTTCCTTCCAAAAATATATATTTAAAAAAGTTCAAAATTTCCGATGAATAATAATTTTTATTATAAAAAATTATATTCCGTCGAAATTTATTAAAAGAAATTTTTTATTTTTCTTATAAAATATATATTTTTTAAATAAATTCCCACGGATTTCCGACGGATTATAACTTTTTATTAGAAAATTACAATCCGTCGGAATTTTTTTATACATATTTGTTTGGAAGGGAAATAAAAAAAAGTTTTCTTAAACATTTCCGACGGAGTATAATTAAATATAAAAATCATTTAAAATCCGTCATAAATTTTAATTAATTAACGCTAATTAATCCGTTACAAATCCATCGGGAAAGTTGTAGAAATAAAATTTTATTTTATTTTTAAATTCAGTGACGGATTTGTGGGGGATTTGTGGCGAATGTCGACAAAAGTTGACTTTTCTTGATTATGCAGAGCTCTGAAGTCTGACGAGTTTTACTTCAGAGTTATTTCAAGAGTAGAAGTCCAAGTCTGAAGTCATTCTTCAGAGTTATACTTAAAAGTTATTTTAAGAGTACAAGTCTGAAGAGTCATTATAAATTTATTGCTAAATTTAAATTCAATTTACTAATATAGTTTCACTTCTAAATTTAATTTTATTCTAGGGTTAACTTCATTTTAACTAATTATTGATATAGTTTTATTTATAAATTCAAGTCTGAAAAGTCAATTTTCAGAGTTATTCTTCGGAATCATTTCAATAGTACAAGTCTAAAGTAGCATCGTGTTTTCGATGATCATTATATTTGTAAGATAAGTTCTTGACATGATTTAATTTTTTCAAATTACCTCGTGTAATACACGGGATCAAACCTAGTATATATATATATATAGAGAGAGAGAGAGAGAGAGATGAGTTATTATACAACCTTTTACATTTGTACAACCAATACAACTCAATCTCAATCGTTCATTTAATTTGATGAATATGTAATTTTATAGAAATTTTGATTGTTTCCTAATATAAAGTAGGGCAAAATACACAAAATAACAATCTACTTTCATAAATTTCTTTATTATAGCATTGTACTTTCAGTTTTTCTTATTACAGCAATGTACTTTCAGTTTTTCTTATTAAGACATTGTACTTTAAAATTTTTACCTATTATAGCATTGTGTAACCTTTTGATTTAAATTTACCCATTATACTAGGTTTCCATGCCACCTCATTGTCCACGTAGGCTGTCCACATGTACTATAGTGATGTGACTTTCTTATTACATCATTTTCAAAATTATTTTTTTATAGCATCTACTAGTTCTTATTAAATACTGTATTTTTAATTTTAATATTTAGATATTTTACATGTTATTTAATTAAGGTATTAAATGAATTAAAAAAATTCTAAATTGTTCATTAATATATTAATATCAATAAAACTAGTAGAACACAACTTATTTCGCTAACATTTTTAAAAAAATATGTGTTTTTTGAAAAAAAGAAAAAAAGAATTGTTCTTTTTTTACCAAAAATATTATCTTTCAAAGAATATATTATATTTGTTCAAAAACTTTTTATTTGATGTATAAATATATTAAATTAATTAGACTTTTTTGAATTATTTATTAATATAACAATATTAAAAAATTGTAGATAACTACTTATTTCGTTAATATTTTAAAGATAACTTTAAAAGATATGTATTTATTTGAACAACATAAAATAGGAAAAGTTACATTTTTTACAAACAAAATTTATCTCGAAAATAATGTTTCATATTTATTTAATAAATATTTTACTCTAAGAATATTTAATTTGAATGCAACTTAATAAGAAAAAGTAAAAAAAATTTAAATGTTTTTTTAGATCATAGCAATGAAAAATGAAAATCACTAATAATAATTTGAAATAAGTTTTTATTTTAATTTTAGTTAAGTCATCAAAATGATGTGRCATCCACATCACCTCATTAAAGTCACACAAGCGAAAAAATCAAATGGTTAACCGGTTTAAAAGGTAACAAGTTATATTATGGGTAGATTTTTTAAAGTACAATGCCTTAATAAAAAATAATTTGAAAGTACATTGCTGTAATAAAGAAAAACAAAAGTAAAATGCTATAATAAGAAATTTTATGAAAGTATGTTGTTATTTCATGCATTTAATCCTATAAAGTATTGATCATAAATATTCAAATCATAATAAATGAACTCTCATCATTTCCATAAATATTTTAATTTATTGGGTTACATTAATTGTACAAATATAATGAATTGCATTTGAAACAATCTCTCAATATATATTATATCTCAAAGTTTATAAAGAATTGAGATTTCACCCCATCATTCTTACTTGGCATTTAAAAAAATTGAGAGCCCTATCGGTTGCCTTGTCCATAGCCATTACAGCAAACCCAAAATATGAGCTATCTGTTTAATCTAATGTGAAACAATTACGATTTAGGAGTCGTTTACTTAAATACTTATCCGGTAAGCATTTACCGATAAAATTCAACATTATTGCTTACTTATCGGGTAAGATTTTATTCACCAAAACGCATCGTATGCAACAATTTATCCCGGTAAGCGCTAACCATGGTAAAAGTTGTCGTCCTCACTTACCAGGTAAGACTCTTGATTCTTGCCTTTGTTCTTACCGGGTAAGATTCTTAGTCCTTGTCATATTCATCCGATAAAGTAATGTGACTTGATGAGCGCTTTCCCTGATAAGCATTTGGTAAACGGCACCTTAGTGTTATTAAATATCAAGTATATATCTAAATATAAACTGTGAATACGTTCACGAAAATATATCGAATCAAAGTTTTGATGATATAAAGTGATCGTAATTATAGAATTAATAAAATTTAACATACGAGAACTAAAGTAATTCGTTAGTTAAACTAAAAATGTGTTAATTCATGATGTAATTCTACTCGACGAGACGAGACAATTAAGACGTATAATCGATTTTGATGGACTGACGATCTTTTATATAAAGGGTCTGATTTAAAAATATTAAAATCGCATATGGGTTTCTCTTTAAACCGGACGTTATGAATTTTTTGTATTTTATGAGAATTACCTACGGAAAATCAACTTTCCTAAGAAACTAAAACAAGTAGATTGTGCTGTTACTGCGGTCAAAATACAATATATCGGTCATGATCGATATTTGATATATCGATTATATCGGTCCAAAATAGTGGTTAATATAATATTTCTTAGAATTATATACATCCATAAACATATCATATGCATTAATTAGAGTTTAGAAATATGGTTTCAATATTAAAACATCACATAAACTGATAAACAAGTCTCACGAAATGAAATAGGAAAGTGTTAAAAAACGAGCTAATCGCAAGCAATAGGTTCGACACCCGAGTGAACATCATCTAATACGTTCACTTCTTCGTTTAGGTTAGCTTCCCAATCTTTCCCTTCATCTCCAAGATGATTATCATCATCATCTCTATAGCGCTCCCTTTTACTTTTTGTACTTGGCCCAAGAAGTACAAGAAGTAAAATCGGTAAATATCGCCATTTTTCCATCAAAATATCGGTAAATATCGGCGATATTATCGGAATCGATATTTCACCACTGATTCCCCCCCCCCCCGAGTCCGATATCCGATATATTGCGATTTTAACAGCATAGTGTACATATAATCATTCACTACTAACCTTGGAAAAAACATCGTTTTCAACATCTTGATCGTTTTGTTTCTTCCCCCCACTTACACTAGCGGCATCTGTAAATTCGAATCAAATTTTCAAAACGATCTATATGAAAGTTGTTTCTTTCAAACTGTCTGTGAAATTGTCTGGATGTGTCGATATGGAAGTTGTTCCCAAATATGATTAAAGGAAATTTTCAAACCCTAGCGTTATGATCGAATGACAATTGCATAAAAATTTCTTGGTGCATGATGAAGTTTCGAAACCCATTGTAACTTCAACCTAATCGTGGAAATGACACTACAACAAAATTGGGTTTATAGGACACCTCCAATCTCTAAGTGTCATAATAGACCACTTTATAGGACTTTATTTATAGGACCAAAATATAAAACGTTCTATCTAAAAGCGTTGTAATAAGTTTATATGACGCTTTTGGGAGTCTTAACAAGTTTTTAATAACATTTTTAATACAAAGTGTCGCATTAGTAACTTTATAGGACACTTTTGAGAAATTGTCCTATAAACTCAATTTTTTATAGGGCACTTGTTTTTATAGGACATTTTTTCAAATAATGTCCTATAAAGTTGATAATGAGAGACCTTACAGCCTAGTGGTAAAGGCTTGGGCATGACATAGTCATGAACCCGAGTTCGAGCCCTGGGAGGGGAGTGTTGGCGACATTTAAGTGGGGCCATGTTTAGCCTCCAAGTTTGCAGGGGATTAGTCGGGCTTTGGCCCGGACACCCTTACAAAAAAAAAGTTGATAATGAGACGTTTTATATTAAAAGTGTCCTAAAAAACTTATTACGATAATAAAAAAACGAAATATAACTTAATACAACACCATTAGATAGGACACTTTATTTTTTTGGTCCTATAAACTAAGTCCTATAAAGAAGTCTATTAGGACACTTAAAATTTGGGAGTGTCATATAAACCCGATTTTGTTATAGTGTGGTTGCAAATACTTTATATGTAGAACATGAGAGTTGTGCTAATATTCGACTCATGAAAACATATGTTCATAAATATTCGACTCGTGAAAACACATGTTCAGAAAATCAGCAAATTCCATGCTTTTTATGAATTTCTTGACATGAGGTTTGATCATGGAAAATGCGGTCTTGTGCAGGTTGCAAATTTGACAACAAGAAACTTGATTCCCCAGCCATGAAGATACACTCTGTTCATTTTTCATTTCGACTGTCATCTGATGTCAATGAGCAATAACTTGCAGTTTTGAGGTAATCACAAGCATAAGCATATTAGATTTTGATCCCTAAGACCTTAGTATGTTGCATTAGGTGGTAAACATGAATTGATTCATAATTTTACTTTTATTTATGTGTTTTTTGTTGACATGTATATTAGGTTCTTTTAGCAGCGAGCCTAGGGACGCTTGAGTTGGAGCATCATTAAATGGAGGTCGTTGCATAATAACCCCCTCCCCCCCATATATATATAGGGGAGCGTTCAAATGAAAACCACTATCATTTGTAAAAACCGTACAAACCACCCTCATACGTCGATTTTATTGTTTAATCTTATGAAATTTTTTCATTAAATTGTTTAATCCTGTGAAATTATTTCATATAATACTTTTTTTGATGAATTTGTTTCATATATGGTTATGAAATTGGTTCATATAATGTTTAATGAAATTTTAATGAAACTGTTGCATGTATTTCTCTAAAATTAAAATAATGAAGATGATAATATACATGATTAACACCATCCACAAAAAAAATGGTTAATCAACCTCTCATAATTACAAAAAAATGAACAAAGTGTAAAATTATGATTGGTTGAATGAAGTTTTTCATGATTTTTACAATTTGAGGGATTTTTATTTGAACGTTCCCCTATATATATATATATATATAGAGAGAGAGAGAGAGAGAGAGAGAGAGAGAGAGAGAGAGGAGCGATCAAATGAAA